TAATATCTATTTTGAACATTGGCATTCTAATTTAAATAATTAATATACTAATAAATATTCATATAGTATACATATATAAGATAGAAGGCTACTTATCTTATTAGAGATGATAATTACAATATATATAGAGAGTGTACATAGGTGATTAGGGTAAATACAAAGACACTAATGACCTTTCTATATACATTACTTACAACATATAGTGATATATACATTATTTTCCATCAAATTCTTAGAAAAACTGTGAGAAGAAAAATGTGACATAAAACTTTGTGTGTCTTCACAAAACACAAAAACTTTGTGTGTCTTTCTTTTACAAAAAAAAACTTTGTGTCTTCTAGTAAATAGCTGTTGAATTTGACATTCCTAAATATTTTTGGCTTTGTCTCCTCTGATATCTCTGTACAGCTAAGCAATGATTCTCCTAGTATTGCCGTGAGGAATGGGTTTCAAGAAAAATAAGTTTTAGTCATTTTGGTGGAGACAAAGTGAAACTTTCCAACAAATGCATTTTGTCTGCCCACTTGATGCAATGAGATATTGAATAGATTCCTAAAATTTAATATATCTAATATTCAAGACTGTTTTGCATCTCAAAATCCTTTTTTTTTGTCTTAACCGTAAAGAGTTATGCTCTTTATGAGATGAGAATGATGGTAAAAACGACATATCATACAACTCATCCTTTACTGTTTTTATTCCCTTCATTTAATATTAGCATCCAAAAATTGAAAAGCTTAAATATGGAATACAAATAATCTATGAATAAACAGTAGAAAAGTTATTTTACATCAATTAATTTGCGCCAAAAAAGTAAATGACACTAATTTTACATTACTTAATTTACAATTTAGACAAATTATTATAGCTTCAATGCTTAAAGGCAATTGTAATAATCGATGCTGTTTTTAATGTTTGTAATATCTGTTCATTTAAATTGATGCAAGTCTTGATCCATTTGCATCACTTACAACTCTAATAGAAATATAAGTGATAAATTGGCATAAGTAGTTTTGATTTTTTTTTTTTTATCATTAGCATTAGCATAAGTAGTCAATAGATTGACTTCATTTGTAAAATGATTAAAAAAAAAAAAAACTAAACTACGCATTAGTTTTAAAAGTGAAACTATTTAGTATTTACCTAATTTGTCAACGTCACACAAAGTTTCCACTAGAAAAAGAGATTTCATAATTTTCTTATATATAGTGACCATTATGTATTCATGGTGTCATAAAGGGTAAAACTTAATAAGAAATTATTATCGTTAATGAATTCACTAGTTTGCTTTCAAATTAGTTGATAAACTTAAAAAACATTGTTTCTCAAACAATGTACTGTAATTCAAAATAAACACTTCTTTTTTTTTTTTTTTTGTCAACAATACTTCATTTAATATAACAGTTTCAAATATATATGTCAGTTTGATAAATTGATGCAAATAGTAACATCAGTTATTTTAGGTGATGCAAAATTAACATTACTTTATAATTTTATATTTTGCTATGAATGCATATATAATAACATAAATTATAATAAATGATGAAATATGTTTTTAACCGATGCTGATTAAAAACTAAGCATTTGTTGTAAAATCTGATGTAAGGAGCTTATAAAGGTAGGTTTTATATTATCTGATGAAAATCTTAGTAGATTTTATTGTTCTATTTGATAAATTTCGAGATATTTCAAAATCCTTTGACATGTAATTAAATTTATAAGTTTATGGGGCTGATTGGTAGGAAACTTTTAAGACTTAACTATCTTTAAAGCCTTTGCCATTAATTTGCCAATCAAACTTTTTTACATTTTTTAAAAAAAAAATTGAAAGTCAGTATTTTCTCCCTTTTTTGTTTTCTCATTTTTTTGTAAGCGTAAAAAATCTGGCCTCAAACCAAAACAATTAAACAAAATTTATTTTTCACATCCCCATTACATTTAAAACCTTTTCACAAGTTAATAAATATATTTTATAATACCTGATGAAAATGATAGTATAAATTTATTGTGAGAAGATATATGCTAGAGAAAAATTTGTGTGTCTCCTGGCAAATAGCTATTGACACTGAAATTGATGAATTTTTTTTGCCTTTATCTCCTCTAATCTCTGTATAGACAAGCAATGATTCTCCTAGTATTGCCGTGAGGAATGGGTTTCAGGAAAATTAAGTTTTGGTCATTTTGGTGAAGACAAAGTGAAAACTGCCAAAAACACAACTTGTGTGCTCACTTGATGCAGTAAGATCTTGAATAGTTTCCTAAAATCTAAAATATTGAATAGTCAAGACTGTTTTTCACCTCAAAATTGTTTTTGTATTTATAGTAAAGAGTTACGCTCTTAATGAGATGAGAATGAAGTTTTACGCTCTTAATGAGATGAGAATGAAGTTAAAAACGACAATGAACTCTCCTAGGCGTAAAATACTATTACAACTCAATCTTTATAATTTAATTTTAATATAATATTATTGTGAGACTCTGGTTCGTGGAGAATCTAAAATCAATTAATTTGGTTGTTTATATCACCAAATTTCACTTATTTTTTGGTCAAGTGTCATCAGAGAACCCCGCAGTTAAGCGTGTTTATGATAAAGTAGTCCAGGGATGGACGAGCTTTCGGAAAGTGATTGTCATAGCTGTGTGAGTGAGGTCAAAACACATGGAAAGATCTTATGGTGATTTTAGGGTCAGTAAACAAGTCTTTAAAGCCTCATGGACGAAGCAATCCGGTTGTCGGTTATAGATGGGCTCATGGACGTAGTGAGAGGATGTGAGACCCATTAAAAAGTGAACCCATGGGCTGAGAGTGAACATGGGACGCACTGGGTGAGATAACGGTCGGGTGTTACAATTAGTATCAGAGCCGAACCCAGATGAGTGTGGAGTAGTGGGTTCACACTGTCAGGGGATGATGGTTTTGGTGCGCAACGAGAACGTTGCGGTGTGTTAGTGGGGAAAGATTGTGAGACCGTGATTGGTGGAGAAGCTTAAATGAATTGATTTGGTCACCTATGACACTAAAGTGCACTTATCTTTTTGGTCAAAAATCCTGAGAAAACTCCACGGTTAAACATGCTTATGCTGGAGTAGTTTAGGGATGAATGACCTTCCGGAAAGTGATTATTGGAATTATATAAATGAGGCTAAAACACAGAAAAAAAATCATGTGTTGATTTGTAAGTTTGGTAAATAAGTCTCTAAAGTTTTTAGAAATATATGAATTTAAATCTTTTAAAACTGATACAATAATTAAATCAATAGCAAGTGATGCTAATTTTATTTAAAATGTGATTCTAGTTATTTACTTAATTTGTTAACGTCTCACATTGCTTCCACTAGAAAAAGAGGTTCCACAATTTTTCTCATATATAGTGTGTGCCCTTGGTATTTTTCATGGTGTCAAAAACTGTAATAAGCAACTATTATCACAAACGAATTCAGCGGAGTATTTTCATATTCATTTAATAATTTTTAAGAAAAAAATCTTAATAAAATCATTTAATCTAATTTTATTATCAATCTAACATAATTTTTATCAATCTAACATAATTTTTATCACTCTAACACAATTTATTAGAACTGTTGCAAATCTTAGTGTCATCTTGATAAACTAATGCAAATACTAACATCAGTTATATTAAGTGATGCAATTGTTTTAGTCAATGCAAAATATTTACATCACTACTTTAAGAGTCACTTGTACAAGCGATTATGTAAAATTCATTTGATGCAACGCCGTATTTTTGTAATGAGTGGCAGATATTTTTGATGCACTAGCATTGGACGTTTAGGTTTGGGTCAATTTTATTATATTTTGGGTAGTTCAGTTAGGGAATATTTACATCACTACTTTAAGAGCCACTTGTACAAAAGAAAGAAGACAGAAACTTATGTCTCCAAGTATTACCCTGAGGAATGTCCTCAGGTTTCTACAAAGGTGAACTCTATTGATATGGTAAAGACAAAGTGAAACCGCCAAAAGTATATCAACTTTTATCTCCAAGTAAACAATTAAGTAATGCAGAGAGATCATCTTCTCTTTTTGTTAGGAACTTAGCATTTTCTTAGTACAGTAGACTTGCTACGATGGCTGGTTCTTCACTCACTCGGCTAAGAGGAGACTTAGACTATGTACAATAGTAATAATAATAACACTTCTATCCATTCAATGAGGGTGTTGAAAAATGAAAAAAATCTATGTGGATTAAATGAACAAAAAACAAATGGAACCATCAACGCCACGCCACGTGTTACGCAATTATTGGTTGTACAGATATTTGATACTTTTACGGTCAATTATTTTAAACTAAATTAATTTAATAATTTTAGATTTTTATATCAAAATTTATCATTTTTATATTTCATAAATAGAAACTTGTTTCATTTAGTTTGGACATAGGTAAAAAACCGTATTTTTATTCTATGTTGTTAATTAATGGTATAGGGTGTTGAATATTATTAAACAAAACTATTGTAGTATATGAATTTGAATGGATCTTGATTTAATATGTGGAATAGAGAAAAACTGATGTAGAAAGTGTTGAATGATAGAATCATTGTAAATAATCTCCGAATTTATCTTTTTAAAAAATATGAATTCTTCACTCACTTAGTTTTTAGAGTCTTTTTCTTCATCAACTGTCCTTAAGATACTATTTGATAAATCGATTGTACAAGTTCCCTCTAAGATCTAGTGTGGTTTACAAGGTATTTAAAAATATGTATAAAGTTCTATAAAGTATTAATAACATATTTAAGGTATTTTTATAAGCTTGTACATACTTATAAAGATAATTTGTGTAAGTTTTTATACGTACTTGGTTTTGAAGAAGTAATATTGGACAATTTTGAAAATTTATAAATAATACAAAAATGTAAAATAAATAATGTAGAACACCCTTTTAAAACTGAAAGAAAAGACTCTTGGGGTCGTCGTCCACATAAAAAAAAATTAAAAATTAAAAACTTGATCCATGAATGAATTTTGACAAAAGAAAAATAAAAAGAAAAGAAACAAAAGTCCTATATAAAGTAGACTTGCTAGGATGGTTGGTTCTTCATCTTCACCATTCAAGTTAAGGTAACATATCAGAGACTTTCCACATTCAAAGTAAGTTCGTCCTCATCTTAATATCTTATCCTTAAAGATAACAAGTTTATGCTTTTCTAATGCTTTTGTTAGTGAAATTTCAAATTCATTGATCGAATGAAAATGAATTTTTTACAAAGTGTGAAAACAATGGAACAAGAATTGGTAAAATAAAACAAGTATAAAAATAAAATGTGCTTGTCTCGATCCATTTTTTTTTGGGTAAACAGAGACTTGATGTTTGCTTAAAGATGACGATCATGTTGTGAAAAAAAAAAGAAAGGATGATGACCATCAAACCACCATTGTCTTTCCAATCTTATTGAGTTATTTCTATAATCAAAAATATCAATATAAGTGAAATTTTATTGTTTGTTAATTGTTTTGTTTGCTGTTTCGAAAAAAGTTAGGTTTGAATGTTAAAAAAATTAGTTTTAGTTCTATGATTTTTTTGGGAAAAATATATTTTAGTATTAGAACACATTTTAGTGGTATTTGAAAGAATTTCTCAAATATTATTACTTGTAGAAATATTTTCATAAACACAGTTTCTTTAAGAGAAATACTCTCAAAATGATTTATAGACAATTATAGTTCACACTCTACAAATTTCCAAAATAGCACCAATTGATACAATTATAATAATTTTAAAGTACTTTTCAGAATTTGTTTTAGGTTTAGGTTGAGTATTTTACATTTAGTGAATAGTTTTTAAGGGCGTATGGTTTATTATTTAGAGTTTATAATTTAATTTGAAAGTTAATTTTGATATATGGTGCTAATTTTGGAAAATATATAGCAGAGTGTGTGCTATATTTAGAAAAAAAAAACTTAAATCAGTGCTATTTTTGAGAATTACCCTTTTTAAGCCTATTTAGATATCATAAATAGAGAATTTTCTAGGGTGAATTTCAAAAATACCCCTTTTCATATACCTCTTTTTAAAAATACCCCCTTTTCAAACTTTATCAAAAAACCCACTAAAAATGTTGAAATTTATCCAAATATATGTGTAAGCTTATAAATATATACACAAATTACCTTTATATGTGTATAAAACTTAATATACCTTTCATAAATAGCGTAAAAATAAATTATAAAAACCTTATAAAAACCTTATAAAAACCGTATAAACCCTTTTAAAAACCTTTTAAAAACCTTATAAATCTTATAAAAACGATTTAAAACGATTTAAAACATTTTAAAATATTTGTATTGAATCTCACAGTAGTAGTTATTATATATAAGTACCTTATAAACTATATAAAACTTTATAATTTTTTATATTTAAAAAGGGGTATTTTTGAAAATGGATAGATAAAGGGGGTATTTTTAAAAAGGGGTACACCAAAAGGGGTATTTCTCAAAAATTCTCAATTTTCTATTTGTTATTTTATAAGTAAAACATTTAATTTTAAGGGAAACCAAGTTCATGTCTAGTATTATTTATTAACATAACTTATCTCCAAATTCAACTGATTTTTCTTTGTATGTTTTCGCGGTTTCATTTTTGTATATTATTTCTGCTAAGCCTTTCTAATATTAGAAAATTAATTTATATTTATATACAACATATGTCAAGACAAAAAAAAATTCCTCATGCATGTGCTCTATATGAAGTGTTAGCCAACTTTTCAATTAATAGTTATGCATCTAACCAAGGTTGTGCATGAATTTTGCAAAGATGATGAACAAGGCTAGAGCTCAACAGCAAGGTCAATCTCCAAAGGTGGTTGAAAACATAGTTCTAGTTGGCCGGACAGGGAATGGGAAAAGCGCAACGGCCAACAGCCTCATTGGAAAAAAAGTGTTCGATTCAAAGACACATGCAACTGGTGTTACCACAAAATGTCAAACACATGAATTTGTGACAAAGTATGGTCACACTATCAATGTGATGGATACTCCAGGTACATGGATCGTTACTCTGAACCTCTTGGATTGATTTTGTCATTGCATTTGATTTTATATAGCTATCGTTAATTGTTTTGCTTAATGTTGGGAATTAAGGTCTGTATGACTTGTCGGTCTCCGCTGATAGTATAAGCACAGAGATTGTTAAATGCCTGACTCTAGCGAAAGGAGGGATACATGTTGTGTTCCTAGTTTTATCTGCAAGGACTAGAGTTACTGAAGAGGAAGAGAACGTACTTCGTACTTTGCAGACTCTATTTGGGAATGAAATCCTTAAATATGTTATCTTCGTTTTCACTGGCGGTGATGTGCTGGAAGAGTGTAACGAGACATTGGATGATTATTTGGGTAGAGATTGCCCTGACTTCTTAAAGGTATATATGTACTTTTGACAGTATGATTCTTAAAAAGTACCAAGTTCTTAAATATATGATACTTTTGATGATATGCAGAAAGTTATATGGATGTCTGGTAACCGAAAGGTGTTGATCAATAACAAGACTCGCGATGAAGGCAAGAAGGCAGAGCAAGTCGATAAGCTTCTCTCCCTTGTAGATGAAATCCGAAAGAGCAACCGTGGAGAGGCATATACCAATGACATGTACGATGCGATAAAGGTAGAAATTTTATGTTATAGCAACTACTGCATATGCATTTCTTGAGTTGAATTTAGGGTAATTCTCGTTAATAGCACCAAAACAAGTTTTATTTCCAAATTTTGCACACACTCCATAAAGTTCTAAAAATAGCACAGTATCTTATAATTAAACTTTCAAAATTAAATCTTAAACTCTAAGCACTAAACCCTACCCCTAACAACTATACTAGTCACATGTACTCAGCGATAAAGTATAAATTTTATGTTATAGAAACTGTATATGTATCTCTTGAGTTGAAGAAGATATGTGTATAGATGATCCTATCTATGAACTATCTCAGAAAGAGACCGATAGACTACATGAGCAGCAAAAGGAGCTGGAATCGAAGAACTATACAAAAGAGATGGCAGAGACGATGCAATATCAGTTAATGGAATCGTATCAAGGGAATATGAACCGAGTATCAAACACGGTAAAAGCAATTAATAGTGAATGATGATGCACTAGCTAGCTTGTTGCGGATTGATATTTGTACGTAATTGTATACTTAGCAATAACCTCTTGATTTTTTTTTTTTTCCTAAGGTGGAGAAGAAGCTTAAAGATGCTTTGGAAACGCAGGAGAAAGCGTCAGACAAATATGTGAACTGGAAAACTGATGATGAAAACATGTTGCAGCTAACAGTTGCAATCCCGGTGCCGCCTGTACCTGGATATTCATGCAACATCCTCTGAACAGTACTGTCTTGTGTGCCTAACAAAAAAATCAGTATCAAAAAGTGTTTTTTTGGTTTGCTATTTTACAATTTTAAAACTTTCGATTGTGTCTTTTATTTCTTTCTAAAATTCTGCTTTCTGTTTTTATTATGTTTTTCCACTTCCTTTTAAAATGTACTGCCGTCAAAATTGAGAGATTTTGTGGTTTATTTTATGTGTGGGCTTTCCTATAATTATATGTTTGTTTGCATGAGTGTACACATACGCTTCTTATTGTTAATAAAGGAACTCGTCTTTTCTCTGAGTTGTTTGACGACTCTCAATCGCTACATTCATATATATATATGGGAAAATTAGCATTATAGTACATTTTCAAAACTTAATTTGTGATATAGTATATTTACTATTCAAAATTGGATAAATAGATAATGGGTCCACTATTTCTACGATTATGTTTCAAAAACTGTCTATTTCTCCAATTATTCCTATATATATATATACCTCCCTTTTTTCCAGCGGCATCTCCGTTATTGTCTATGTTTGTCGTTTTGCTTCAATCATTTTTCTTGCCACTGTCGTTTTACTCCTACAGTGATTTCATTGGCAACCTATATGTATTATCGTTCTTTAAGCAGTATTATTATATCTCCATATCTGGGCGTACGTACAACAAGGCTTGGAAGGGAATGGGTATTAACAGATTGAGATATCTCAATCTTTAATGGGAATATAGAAGAAACAGAAAGCACACATAAAAGAAAAAGCAAACAGGTTTGACTTGATCTTGGTCGGAAACATGGATTACAAGATGCTACATGGCAATCCCAACCCCGTACCTATTACAGCAGGCACAGTAAGCCCAAGCTGAATCATCATCCGCCTCTGTTCCCCATGATCATGTTCATTGCGTATAGATTCATTGTCGCTCTGTACCTTGTGGAGCATACGCATCATGTTCTCTTGTGCAGCGGAAGTCTCTTTTAGCGTATTCTCCATCTATAAGAAAAGAAAGACCTCGTCAAACTCTACGTTGCGACGAGAAGTATATCTTTAGGAATCCATTCATATTTTTTTAATTACCATCTTTTGCATTTGGCTCATCCTCTCCTCATATGAATCTTGTAATCCCTTCTTTATCTCTGCCAACTCTGCTTCTCCAAGGTTCCTAGATTCAACCTCCTTTTGCTGCTCCATAAGTCTTTCAGACTCTTCCTGAGATACGAACAGCGGAATATTTAAACATCGACAAATATTACATTTCTGTAGAGCAATGCAAAGTCCAATATCTTCACCTTTATCCTAAGTTGCATTACATGACTAAACGGTTTCCCATCATTTTGCTCTTCAATCGATGCTACAAGCGCATGAAACTGCTTGACTTGCTCGGCCTTCTTGCCTTCATCGGTAGTCTTATTATCAAACAAGACCTTTCTGCCTCGACACTCTCTAAGAACTGTCTGGAATTGCACAATCAGTTTTATTGGTAAACTATATATAATCCAAATATAAACACATTGAAGAATTATCAAATCACTGACCGTCAGAAAATCAGGGCAGCCTTGAAGAAAATAATCATCGAATGTTTGAGTATTTGCTTCCAACTCGTCACCGCCAGTGAATAGAACAATCAAATATTTAACAATCTCGCTCCCGAAAAGGACCTCTAAGGTACTAAGTGTGTTCTCTTCCTCTTGTGTTATCCGATTTTTAACGGATAGGACTAATACCACAACATGTAATCCTCCTTCAGCTAGGGTAAGACATTTGATGATTTCTTTACTGATAAATCCAGCAGACACCGACAAATCAAACAGACCTGTATCACAACAAATCCTAGCTTGGTTCCACAAAAATATTTTATAAAAATATGACTTGTTGAGAGTTTAAAGACCAAACATACCAGGGGTATCAATCACGTTGATTAACAGACCATCTGGGGTAACAGCTCTAGATGTCTGACATGTCGTTGTAACACCCGCTGCGTTTGATTCCGAGATAAACACTTCGTTTCCGATGAGAGAGTTTCCAGTAGCGCTTTTTCCATTACCAGTACGTCCGACCAGAACTATGTTTTTAACAGCGGTTTTGTCTGCTTCTGACGCTAAAGGCTGTTCGGAAGCATCCATATTTTAGCTGTTTGATGTAAGCGAAACATAAAATTAAAATAGAAATAGACTAAAGTTTATATAAACTTACTTACCCAACGCGTTTCTAAGATGGTTGCGCGATCTTTTCTTGTTTGCTGCGTCATGTTGAAATTTTGAAGATTTAAGTATACAAGATACGTATTACTTTTATTTATTTTTTCTGTGTGCAATTTGAGTTTATTTCTTTTGAAAAACAACTGACCAAGTGTTTTGGGAATATGTTATAAGTTCATAAATTTCATAATTGCTAATTCAAAATATTTTACATTTAGAATGATACCTTAGTAATGAGCCAGTTCCACTTTTGAGCTGGTACTACTATATGCTTCCTTTGTTTTTTTTTTAATTGGACTTATTCGTTTCTAGGTAAATCAAACATGCCTACACGATTCCTCTTTTTGACTATTTCTTTTACATAACGTTTTGCTGCTTGCTACTTGCAAAACATATTTAATCATAATAATATTTATTGGTATTCTATACCTTTTTAATTATATATATTTATTTTTTGTTATTTTTAATGTGACCGCTATTGCTTCCGTTGGTCAACCAGTCATATAAATAACTCCCGTAGACGCACCTATTTCAAACGCTAAATCAGTCATTCAAAATGGTTAATAACGCTTGAAATTGCAATCGTGTGCTTTTGCAAACTTTGGCAACCGCAACCGTAACCGCTGCATTTATTATAAATAATTTGTTTACATTTGTTCGTAATTAACAAAGTATTTATCTTATGTGCAGATTTTAAATTTGGAAAAATGTTAGGTGAAAATTTTAATTCAAACTTTGCAAATTGGGATTTGTAAAGCCTTCTAGGTAGGTCCATTAAACAGAAAGCTTCGGCTGCATCTGTCAGTCAAGGTAAGCCCATTAAACAGTAACCAAAAGCCCAAGTAACACATGATCTCGGGTCGCTATTCGTTGTTCAGTGGGTAATCCTAAGGAGATGTAACCAATTTTAATTTTTGGGTTAAATTGGAAAATTGACCCGACCTATTTTTTTTTGTTTTGCCAACTTTAACCTTAATGAACCGAAATCATGAGTTGTTTTGCTAAAGTTTGAACTGAAATCGTAGGGGTAATATTAGGTATTTTAGAAGTTGTACTTCTCTTAGAAGATTAAAAATAAAAATTTACTCTAAAATGATGTGTTAGTTAGAAAAAATGTTATAATGTCAAATGGATGAATGATCTCACTAAATTTTGTTGTTCGTTGAAAAGAAAAATAACATAAAAGACACTGATTAATAGTAAAAAAACAAAATCACTAGAATTACTCTCAATCTTAGCCTTACAAATTAAGACACACAATCTTAGATCCTAACTTGATAATTTGGTAGGTTTTTCATTAATACCATACCATTATTAACTTCAAAATTCTCTTTAAAAAAACAATAATTGAATGGTAATTTGATTTAAGTAATAAAAAAAAAAAGATGCTTCTCTTCTAATATTCTAAAAATGATTCAACAAAGATATATACATATGATGTCTCAAAGGTGAGTTTACAAGACAGTTATTAACAACAATACTTACAAGGGTTGTTAGGAAATAAGTACTTATTTGGATTGGTTGCATGGAAAGGTGAAAATACAAACGAAAATAGAAACCACAAGGGACACATTACATGAAATAAAGAAAACATGCAAAGTTCACGACCAGACTTTAACTGTGTCATCAGCGATCTTTATTGGGCAAAACCCACCGATGAGTACCATTACATGATGTTGCATGACACCTTAGGATCTTGTTCTCTCCTTGGCACCATGTTTTCCATCACCCGCATCATTCTCTGGTGTGCCTTCCAAGCATCTTTAATTGTTTCCTCCACCTGAGAGAGTACAAGATCATGATCACACATATTGTTACGGACAAAATATCATGAGGTAAAATCTCACTGAATTGGAAACGGATCAATGTGGCAGGAGATTTTCAAGCGTCTAGAGTATTTTCAAATGGCACTCTAATTAGTTCATCATGCTAGTATTTTAGGACAGGTTAATCGATTTGTTAAATGATCCCACGATATCAGTGACCTTGCTAGCTTTGTTTTGATGGAGGGGACCTAATCAAGAGTTATCACATAAAAAAAGTTTGGCTAAAAAGTACTTAGTTACCATAATTGCCATTTCCTCCATTTTACGATCATACGACTGCTTTACCAACCTCTTCTCTGCTTTTTCTGAATACCTTGCTTCGGCTTCCCTTAGCTTCTTTGTCTCTTCCTGAGATATCGGAGATCATAAGAATTAATGAGAGACCGCAGATATATGATCCTATGCTCTGAGCAATTAGGATAGCAATATTTCACATTTGAAGTTGGCTAAAGATCTTGACTAGTATATAAAATATATGAGTAGCGATTGGGACGAAACCATATAACATGCTCTGGTTTCGGACCTGAGGGGATGTATGGACTTTGGCCTAGAATCTCTTTGATTATTCAAAAATATATATATATGAGCTCATGCATTCATTGCCAATTGATTTTGAATTGGAAGCCCATAGTCTAATACAACTATACAAACTTCCAGATTATAAAACGAAAAAAAAAAAAAATCCGCATTGTTGTACAAAAAGTCGGAGACTCACCTTAATCTGACGGTGCATCTCTTCCGTAAACGGTCTCCCTGCATTGTTGTTTCCAATTGCTGCAACATGGGCGAGAAGCTGCTGGATTTGTCTATCCTTCTTGTCTGCATCAACTGTCCTGTTATTAAACAAAACCTTTCTGTTGCCACACAGAGTGAAAATTCTCTGAAAGCACACAAATCCAGTTGAGAGAGTAGATAGAGTTAATAAGCAGAAACATACGTTTGAGAATATATATAATTCTTAAATGTTTTTAATACATTAATCGATGGAATCACCAACCGTCAGAAATTCAGGGCAAGTGGACAAATACGCGTCTAAAGTCTGGTTGTTGGCTTCTAACTCATCACCGCCAGTGAATACTATGATCAAGTAGTCAAGGATTTTAGCCCCAAAGAGGCTCTGCAATGTAGTCACAACGGACTCTTCCTCTTGGGTCATCCGAGTTCTCACTGATAGAACTAACACCACAGCATGTAATCCTTCATCCACCAGAGCAAGGCATCTAACGATTTCCTTGCTGATGTATTCAACAGGTTTAGACAAATCAAACAGACCTGTGCCACATGCCAAAGAGGAAACATTTGAGTGTTATTTCATGTATTCAGAGTTCAGAGTCTTCAGACTATAGGCAATGCAGATTACGCGAGGAGTTTCAGCCATTATTATATTAACAATGTATTAGATCTTGCACAAGATCTTTTCCTTCACATATCATAACCTAAGATCTGGTTAAGATACTACCAATAATGTTGGTATTTATAAGATTTTACATACATGTAAAGATAATATTCATTCGGGTAAATCTCAAAAATAAAATTATGGCATTTTTTTATAAAGTCTTAAAGAGGAAACATTTTAAAAAAAAAAATGATATTGGGGAAAAAGGCATTTTTAAAATGCCCCCTATAATGAATTGATTGAATTGAATTTTCGATTAGTTGATGAGTATGTTAGTATATATTTTACAATGTTTTATTTTATAATATTTTTTTAACGCATTTAGTTTGATATGAAGTAAATATTTTTACTTATGAGATAACAATATCTGTAAAAGGCTGTTAGATATGGTATGAAACAATTAGCAATTTAAAAACTTAAATCTTGCGCAACACTAAAAAAAAAAAAAAACGAGTGTAGTGTTTGGATTTTATTAGTAAGTTCCGTACGACCAGATTAGTTTCATTATATAAGGTGAAAACTCAAAACTATTATGTTATGTTAAAAGTAATTAAGACTAATCATCTATCATCATGGGGTGTATATATATCAATCTAACGTTTCAAGGGAACAAGACACAAACCGGGAGTGTCAATAACATTGATAATCTGGCGATGGCGATGGAGATCTTCTGTCACAGCTCTAAATGTCTGACATGTCATAGTAACACCTGTTGCTTGGGCTCCTGATGTGAACATTTGTTGTCTGATGAGTGAGTTCCCCGTGGCGCTTTTTCCGTTGCCTGCACGCCCAACTAGAACTATGTTTTTTATCGGCACTGACCCTGCTGAAGCCATGGACCCGTCACTCATGATGTTCTACAAAATAATAAGAGAAGTGCTTTCAGTTTAACATATCAATATCTAAACTGACGAGCGAAAGGTAAGATGCTGATAAAAACTTAGCACAATACGTACGTCTCAGTTCTCTCACCAGCTGTTCAGCTAAAACACAAAATTAGATGATCAAGTTGAGACTAAGGTTTTATAGGTAATTGAAGTTTAAATTGAAGATTGTTTTTTTTTTGTATGTTGTTATTATGTGGCCACCACGCATTTTGGGATGTTTACCAAGGAAACTTCTTTTGTTTGCACCAGTTGGGGTATAAATAATGTTATCAATGTAATTTTGTTAATTGCTTATTGAGATATAATTATAGTATATGAGATTGGAAACGGTAAAGTAACTAGAATGGGCAAGAAAGACTTTTGGAGGTTGACTCCGTTAGAGCTCGGTCAGGAACATCATTCGTGTAGGATTCACCTTTGAGATGAGAAAGCCTTCATTCTAGGGTCAAACTAAAAGACGTTATACGACCACATTAGTTAAATTTTTGGAAACAAACTCAAGACTTATTATAGTAACAAAAGAAAGCCTTACAAGTTTAAGGATGTTTTGTACTAAGAAGCTGAAAACGATCACAAGAGTTATGCAAATAGGTGACCACAAAAATTTGGTTCATAGCCGGAAGGGCTGGGAAACATATCCAAATCCGAAAATCCTACCGGAACCGATTTGGCATTTTTTTAGCACACCGACCAATTTGGCGGATTTGACCGATTAATACCGATTTGGAACGTCTAAAATAGTTAACTGATTTGGTTCACGATTTTTAGTAAAATCAGAATGCGTGAGGCTCATGAACGCCTAGACTGGCGTCTACCCTAATGGATTTTTTTTGGACCTAATGTTAAATTAGTCCGAACAACTGTTTTTATTTTTTTTATTTTCAGGATTCTTTCTTGTCAAAGAATAGAAAAAGATATATATTTTCTTAAGATGGTTGTGGTACTACTAGTTACATAAACATTTGTAAACCGATACTAAGTACAGCAAACGCAAGAATACCATTCAAATGTCAGTTGCATTGAAAATTATATATATATACTAGAAGTGGACCCGCGCTACAGCGCGGAGGAATATTCATGATTTATGCTACCGATAATAAATTATAATATATTATACTTCTTATTATTTCTACGGTAAATTATATATATGTACATGAGTTTAGATTAAACAGTAGAGAAAAAGAAGCATTTAACAACGTGATTTGATATGTAGTTTTCAGTTTGATCATATTAGTAGTAGAAATAATAATATAGGTAAAAAAATTTGGTGACCAAGAAAAAAGAAATAATATTCATTTACATTCTCACAATATGTATGTTGAGGCGAATTAAGCTGCAAAGAATTGTGTTCAAAGAAAAAATTATTTATAAGCCGCTTTACTATGTGATTGTGAATTTTGCAAGCCAACCCGTGATTTTTTAATTAAAATAATGACATAAAAATTAATAATGATTAAGAAATAGAAGTATAATTAAATAAATATATATAGTTCATAAATACCCTATAAATAACTTATAAAAACTTCTTACAAGGATATGTAATTCAGTTTGACCAATTTATTAGTATCAAAAATAATAATACAGATAAGATATTGCATTTGAAAAAATTACATAATCACAATGTATTTAATAAAAGACATTTAACTAATTCCAACTAATTAGCATTATTATTAATTTTATTACTATTATTTATGTATTCATATATGCATTTTTATATTTTATACCAAATATTTTTAAATTATGTTTTTATATATGCATTTTTATATTTTTTATACTTATAATTTTTGTTCAAAAACATTATATTTTTATTAGTTTTATATAAGAATTTCTTATACTAATTAAAAAAAATTTAAAAGATTGTGATCTTTTATATTCATAAACATATTCTCTTTATATTTTGCGTTAATATAGTTTTCTAAACTATAATAATGTAATATTAATACATATAGTACTTTCCTAAATTATAGGGAATATATTAATGGAGGTCAACATAAAAAGGAATATATTAATATTTCCAAAATCAGTTCAGATTTTATGGTTTATATCTATATCCGAAATTTGAATTAAATTATAAGTATCCATTTAGCAAATTTCGGTTATTTTTGCTAAATTGACCCGACCCATTTCCTATTTGTACTTCTCTTTTACTAATATAGGGATATATATGAAGAACACGCAATGTCTAGTAATAATTTGAAGGTTAATATTAGAAAAGTAGAGAAAATTTTGAGAGAAAATAATAATAACTAGATTTTAATCTCCGGTATATCGCGGGATACACATTTTTTTTAATTCATTCTTTAAAAAAATTATAAATTTTATTGGAGTTTATTTAATAATTATCAAGATTGCATAATATCAATCTATACTAAATAAATTTAATTATACATGTTTTATATCAGTGTTGTTAAAAAATAGTAAAATGACATGTATTGAACTGTAAGATTAATAATACTATAATTTTTTAAGTAATATCAAGTCAAAATCGGTTCGTCTTACAACCTGTCCCATCATATAATCTGTTGGAAGCATATTACAACATTTCTTGTCTTATATGCGAAACAAATTATATTTTTACTATACATATGTTTTATATAATAAAATAAATTAAAAATAACAAATAAGATCATCTAAAGATTTTGGAGAACTATTTGAGAAAATATGGAAAATAAGAAATGGTATTATATTTATTTGGGAGATATTTTAGGAATTTTGTTAAAAAGTGCTTATTATTAGTTTTCAAAATATTAACCAAATAATAAATTATAGTGGCATTCTTTATGAATATAGTTTCAAAGTCCTTGAATTATTTTAAAAAGTACAGTAGATGATAATGAGCTTAGATTTCGGAAGAGGTGAACTAACAAAATCTCATGAAAATTATATTCCTTTTTTCTTTGGTTTGGAGTTGGACATAAAAGCAAACATCTGAGGGGAAAGACGAAAAAAAGGAATATAATTTTCATGAGATTTTGGAATATAACATGTAATATAAGCTACACATGTTATATTGACATTTATTTTGCTTGTCAGCGAACTCTTCGGGAAATGGTTCAGGCATGTTTCTTGCGTTGATGACATTTTATATATTATATATTTTTAATGATATCTTATATATTTTTAAACGAAAAATAAAAAATATTTTATAAAAATTTACAAAAAATACTGTCTGATTGTAGATGACATTTATTCATTGTTCATAAAATATGTTTTAGCAAAAGTTACGACGAAAATACACAAACGAAAAGGTTATGACTAAAAGATACGTATGAAATTACGACGAAAAGACATGAATTTAAAAGTTACGACGAAAAGATGAAAAGTTGCGAGGAAAAGACACGAATAAAAAGACACGAATGAAAAGTTACAAAGAAAAGATACGAATGAAAAATTACGATGAAAATACGAGAATGAAAAGTTACGGCGAAAAGACACGAACGTCTTTCAATAAAAGAACAAAACTTTGGTGGCATTTTTTGAGTTTGCTATTATTGTATAGATTTTTTGTTTTTGTTTGAAAAAGAGCCCCGACGGAGATGTGATAGATTGTATCAACCAGGCGGATCAACCAGCATTTAATCACCCGCTCCTGAAGAACCATATGATATGGTCCAATATCATTCAGGTTTATGATTAACTCATTTGTCTTTTTTTTTCTTTGTAATATTATTAACTCATATGTTTATTTATTCCTTTAATTAGAATGATTTTTTTTAAGTTTTAAGATTAATCTTATAATGTTAGATCATGCTTTAGTTTTACTTACATTTTGATTAAATTTTACTTATGTTTTGCTTATGTTATAGTATGTAAAAATTAAAACAAGTAATTATAAATGACATACAAAGACCTTGACAAGTAAATAAAACTTCATTAATAAACTTTACACTTGTCGAGATAATGTTAAAATTAAACTTTTGCATAATAAGATAAGATAACATTTACAACATTTTGTTTTCCAAAGGTTTGATAGTAGAATATATTACGTACTTTACAAATGCGATAAGCATTAATACAGCCAAAGTGGTGCATGCGAGCATATAACAAAGAAAAGCAAATATTTCTGTAAGGATCGATTATAGAAGAAATTATGTACTATCGAACACAATTTTTGGTGGTTATTACTAAATAATTACTTGAAAGCTTTTTCAAGGTATATTATTTTCTAACTTGACTTAAAGTTTATATGTTCGTTCTTGTTTCTCTTAAGACCAATACCAATACTAGCTAAGTGGTTTTAAACTTTTAAGAATCTCAGTTAACAAAATTATGTAACTTTTTTACAGTTTCATATTTTTAATTTTCTAATATAATTTTTATATGTAATATGTAGTATGATATTTATATATATATATTATTTAATGTTGTAAATTGCCTAAAATCGTCATTAGGTGTTGGATCACCAGCTACTTGCCACCTAAAATTTTTCTTAACATTAACATTGCCTCTTTTAGATGAAAAGGAATCCTATATAAGGTAGAAAAAAATTTATAAGTGAGAAAGTAGTCATTGGGATTATTAAAAGAAAAATTATTTTATAGAAAATAACGACCTAATCATCATTTACCATGGCTGAATGAATCTAACACATACTTCTCTTCTTTTCTACGAAACCCAAGATATTCATTCAATTGCCTTCTCAAAAATAATAAAAAAATTTATATCGTTTTGAAATTTCAAGTATAAACAATTACATTGAGCTTGGTTGGTACTTGGTACCAAATAGGTCGTTTTCCCAAGTCTTTATTTACTTAAATTTATGGAATGCTTTCTTAATCTTTTGGGACATACACTCAAAGATGTTGGCTAGCTAGTTTAATTTCTAGATTGGTATAATTAATTGGACTCCATAAGTACCGAAATAGTATATCATATTATTCACGAGTAGCATATTTTTAACATATTCATCGTGACACCCTAAAAGACAAAGTCTATTGTCAACTCCTTCCTCTGGACATAAATCTACTAATTAGAGATGTTATAAAATAGTTGACAAAAAAAAAAGAGATGTTATAAAACAAAAATCTTCTACTTAGAGAAATTATTTGTTTGTCCTATTCTAAATATAACTTCTGTTTGCCTACCAAAATATTTGTCTTTGCATTGTATGCAATCTTTAATCAAATCGTATTGTTAGAGGTAAAACTATTTTTTTGTTAGAAATAATACAATTCATTGTTACAAGTTATACTGCACAACGTCTTTTAAAATAAAATATATCTAGTATTATCTAATTTATCTTGCAACATGGATGAAATTTATTATAATATAGTTAGAAGTTAAACAAAGTCTTTGTTTTAATTAAAGTTAAATTTTGTCTGTAGTCCTTTTAAAAATTGTATTATAAGAGATATAATGTAAGTTGAGAAGGAAACATTTTTTTTAGACCTATTTTTTTGTCTGTAGGACTATATTTTTTACTCTAAAATAGAGCATTGTTTTGCTCCAAAGTATTACTCTAAAATAGAGGTAGTGTAAATAAATAGTGTAGATAATAGATTTACTCTACATATAGAGTAAATATATAATTTAATCTATTTTAGAGCAAGATATAGAGTAGGATTTAACAAAATGTTAATCTAAAATAGAGTTTTGACCCTAAAATAGAGTGAGGTTGGATATGCCCTTAGAAGTTAACAAACAACATTGTTTTAAGGTACACTAGACTAGGCACGGGTAAATCTTATAATATTTGATTTAAATAATTATATTTATGATATTTAATATTTATAAATTTATGATATCAAATTATAATAAGTAATTTATTTATAATATTTCCAATTAACACAAATTATAATATATAGACAATACTTGATATCCAAATTGGAAGTGCATTAAAAAAAATCAAAGCAATTTAGTTAATAAGAATTTCAAGAAATTATATATAGGGGTTGTTTCTTTATTTGGAAGATGATGGATTGTAATTTATTTGAAGATATAAATATATATATATATATATATATATATATATATATATATATATATATGTATGAGACTGTGCATTCGATATAATGTATATTAATTAGTTTTGGAGTGTTGCAACCTTACAAAATATGAAACATCTAATTTAACTGATTCATAATTTTAAAAATATTTTCATGGACAAGAAGAGGAGGTGGTTAATACTTAGTAGTCTCTTCTTTTTTTCATTTCATTTTATTCATAACCACACCAACTAATTTTGTTTTTTTTTTTAAATTTAAAAACTAACCTACTGCCCTATTTTACTTATTCTTTTTTTTTTGTAATATTTCTACACCACTATACATTTATTTTTTGGTCTACACCACTATACATTTTTAAGATCCTCCTCATTGCTCACAAAAATGAGGATGTCTTTAAACATAAAAATATAATTTTTTAAAACCCTTTAATGTGTGAATAATGAAGATTAAAGGGTTTAAAGTATATCTCCTATTCTTTTTCATATATTCATTTTTATGTTTAAATGATGAAGGTCAAATGTGGAGAAAAACTACTCAAGTCTCTCTCCTCTCTTCTCTCTTGCAGCTTCTTTCACAATATAAACTTGTATATGAACCCCATAAATCACATTCGCATATATTATATATTTTAAAATTCATAATTATTTCTTTTACAATATTTTATGAGATTTTTACACACAAGTGTGATTGTTTAAAAATAAAATAAAATTATTATAGAAGTTTCTTCTATAATAGGTTCTATACTTCTATATACGTTTTTCACATCCACGATGATTTCAGTTTAAATATAAAATAATATCAAAACATTTAAAATCTAAAAATTATCGACTAACTCAAAATTAGACCACAAAAATATTTTAACTGTCATATATCAAATTAACCAACCAAAATCTTTAATTTAATTTTTATTTTTGAGAATTTTTGAGAAAATATAGATATACACATTTTATTACCAACTATTATATAATTCAAACGTAATATTTTTATTTATTAACTTAGTCTAGTGGCAAATGATAAGTCCACTGATAAACATACATTATTACATCAGGGATCGAGTCTTGCTCCCTACATATTTGTAAGGATTAGACTAATAGACCGGCCAGTTGTGGTCTAATGTTGAAAATAAAATAAAAAATTAAGTTAAAAATTCAATCCATATCATATTTTGGGATAAACCACCTCTATCGATGATAAATGGAGTGTCTTTGATCGATGAGGCAAGGCAATACATTAACCAAGAGTCATCGCATTCGTCGCACCAATCAAGATAGAGGCAAACTTTTGATTATTATCAAAAAGTAGAAACAAGTGTTTTGCTAAAGACACCTGAAATCCCTATTGAATATATCTTTAAGTTTTAAACTATATATGATTGGTTTTAATTTTATTGTTTGTTTATATATAGTATTTAATAGATAAAATTAATTAAAAAACACCCTTGATAAGGTCGTTTAATTACTAATGAGGATGGTCTTAATAGGTTTACAACTCAAAAGTCAGAACCAACAAACACTTGTAATTGTATAATAAAAAAAAATGAAACACTTGTTTGAAATATTTACAATGATATAATAAAAATATGAAACACTTGTTTGAAATATTTACAATGATATAATAAAAATATGAAACACTTGTATAATAAGTTAAAGAAAGACCAGTCATTTTTTTATTTTTTGTAATGTGGAAAAAAGACCAGTCATATTATATTTATCTTGGTGTAAAGAATACTATCAATGGTCTATATAAACTTGATTTTAACAATTGGTAATTCCAAGTTATATTAACATCTATCAAGCCTCTAGTAAAAGTTGTAAGGTCTTTCCTCATCAACATCAAGTTCGTCTCTCACTCTCACAGTTTCCTTTTTTTTTCTTTCTTTCTTTTTCCCCTTATACTGTCAATGATCATATTGCATTACATCTATCAATGTGTTTGGATTTACTTTGATCTGCTTAGCTAATAAGTTACTTTCTTATGTAATGATCAGAAGTATCACACTTCCCATGGAAAACATAGTCTTGTTTGGTCGCACAGGTGACGGGAAAAGCGCTACAGGGAACAGCATCATAGGGAAACATGTGTTTCTTTCCGAAGCAAACGCAGAAAGAGTTACAATAGAATGCAAGTCAGAGATTCTTCAGACACCTGAAGGAGGTCCCAAACTCAGAGTGATTGACACTCCTGGTACGTTTGAATTATATAAGTACTTTTTTTTTTGTATGGTATCAAAATGTATGTAAATGGTTAACATGAGGAGTGGGATGAGGTGCATACAGGTCTATCTGATCTGATGTCTTCGGTTGAATACATAAGTAAGGAGATCGTTAGATGCCTAAATCTTGCGGAAGGAGGGCTGAATGCTGTAATCTTAGTTTTATCGGTGAAGAATCGAGTTACCAAAGAGGACGAGGTGGTCCTTAGTACCTTGGAGGATGTTTTCGGGAGTAAGATTATTGATTATCTTGTCGTTGTTTTCACGGGCGGGGATGTGTTAGAAGAGGATGGTGAAACAATTGAGTCTTATTTGGATGGTTGTCCTGTCTCCATAAAGGTTGGTACTTCGATCATAATTTGTGGAATTATAGGTTTCATAACGTTGTAACTTATGATCATTTCATACTTTTCTATGGTTTTAGAGACTTTTGAAATCGTGTGAGCAACGATATGTCTTGTTCGATAACATAACCGCGGATGAGGTGAAAAAAACAAAACAAGTGCAAGAGCTTCTCAACACTATCGACCTGGTCAGAAAACATACGGATTCTAAATCGTATGCCGAGGACATGTCCGAGAAGATAAAGGTTTAAATAATTTTCCATTTTTTTCTTAGCAAAAAAAAAAATTCAATTTTTTATAGGTGAATTTAAAAATCGGTGTGTTCTTAAAAAAAAAAAGAATTTTTGAGAAATACCCCTTTTGGTGTACCCCTTTTTAAAAATACCCCCTTTATCTATCCATTTTCAAAAATACCCCTTTTTAAATATGAAAAATTATAAAGTTTTATATAGTTTATAAGGTATTTCTATATAATAACTACTACTGGGAGATTCGATACAAATATTTTAAAATGTTTTAAATAGTTTTAAATCGTTTTTCTAAGTTTTATAAGGTTTTTAAAAGGGTTTATACGGTTTTTATAAGGTTTTTATAAGGTTTTATAATTTATTTTTACGCTATTTATGAAAGGTATATAATGTTTTATACACATATAAAGGTAATTTGTGTATATATTTATAAGCTTACACACATATTTGGATAAATTTCAACATTTTAGTGGGTTTTTTGATAAAGTTTGAAAAAGGAGTATTTTTAAAATGAGGTATATGAAAAGGGGGAAAACGGCATATTCTTCCATGAACTTAGTTACTTTATCGTATTAATACACAGAACTTTGAGGCGTGCTTGTAACTACATAAACTTAACTAAAATTTGAATTTTCTACACGAACAATTCAGTTCCGGTCAAAACCATCAATTCGACAAACGGTGTTACTATTCCGTTAACTAATGATGACTAGGATGACATGTTTGCATTCTAGAATGCCATGTGGAGCTACTGAACCACGTCGTTTGTTTATATTATAGAAAAAAGAAATCTGAACAATAATAGGATTTGAACCCCTTACCTCTAACCCAAATAAAAGGACTCCGTGCCAGCTGAGCTAATGTATTATTGATGAGAATTGTCAAACGAGATATTTATATTGTTGATTCAATAATTTAAAAATAATAAACTAAAAGAGAAAAACCTTATCATTGGTTTGGACGCTTTCTACTTCTCTTGTCTTCCTCCACGACTCCTTCTAATCCCAACTGTGGAGTTACTTTGATATCCATCCCAATACGATTCCCAATCTATATTTTAATTTTCCTTTAACAAATTCAGTTGAGCTATTTAGGACTTGACTGGATACACGATTTTAATCAAATTTGTTATAATTTACCAAAGAAATTCCAGTTGTCAATCTAATGAACTGTCTATCACGATAAGATTAAAGATGATGAAGAGGGTCGTACAGTCATAGTCATAGTCAATATAAAAGAAGAACAAAACAAGGAGAGAAAAGAGAGAGTACTGGCAATAAAAAACGAAGATGAAGAACAAAGCAAAGAGAGAGAGAAAAGAGGTTTCTTTACTTTAATTATTACATAGCTATATATTTACATATATGTCAATGATTGACAACAAATACCGTTAAGTTAAATTGGTATTAAGTTTTGATTTGTGAATCAAAGGTCAATGGTTCGAATCCAACTTTTGTATATTTGTTGTTTGATTTTTTTTTTTTTTAAATATAGAAAACGACGTCGTTTTGTCGTCACACGTAGCATCCTAGTCATCATTAGTTAACGGAATAGTAACACCGTTTGTCGAATTGATGGTTTTGACCGGAATTGAATTGTTCGTGTAGAAAATTCAAATTTTAGTTAAGTTTATGTAGTTACAAGCACGCCTCAAAGTTCTGTGTATTAATACGATAAAGTAACTAAGTTCATGGGGGAATATGCCGTTTTCCCTATGAAAAGGGGTATTTTTGAAATTCCCCCTTAAAAAAAATGCTCAACTCCATATTTTAATTTCAAAAATACTATTTATTAAATCTGGAAAGTTTATAACGTATTAATTGTAGAGTACTTACCGATTGTAACTATTTGAATACTCGATCAAAATATTTGTAAGATATTTATAAGGTTTTATACAATATTTATAACGTATTTGTAAGATATTTAATTTGTAAGGTTTTAAATGTGTAAATGTAGCTTTTATATGTTTTATATGTTTACATACATATGTATTTGCGTAGTTCTCATATTTTGATGAACACTTTTATAAAGAAAGAAGGCTTTTGAAAATATTATTGGAAGAACGGGATTTCTTGAAATTTAACGTTTTTATTCCACTTGTATATCAGTCTCTAGCATATTTTTAAAATTCCTAAATCAAATCAATATCGCTCACCAGGAAGAGACTGATAGACATAAGAAAGAACAAGAGGAGCTTGAAACAAAAGTGCATATGCATTCAAAAGAAGAATTCGAAGAACTGAAGAAGGAGTTACAGCTTAGGAATGAACAAAACCTTAAAGAAATGGCAGAGATGGTATATATTTATTTATAAATTCCCCTTTGTTAATATACATACACACACATGCATGCATGCATATATGGTAATGGTACTGATGTGGTGTGACATTAACATATCTGATTCATTTACCACAGATGGAGAAAAGTATTAAGCTTCATCATCAAGTTGAAGAAGTAGGAAGAGATGACTCCAACGATCCGTTTTGCACAATTCTCTGATCAATCAATGTCACTGCCTCTCCTTCTCTATATTCCTCGTTTGAGCATGCTCTTGGACTTTTGATTATATCTGTTTCATTTTCAGTACGTTACATATCTCTTTATATTGATTAGGCCGTTCGTTTGTAGCCTAATCTTCTTGTTTGATTTGCTTCTTTGTTTTACGTTAAAACATATGTTGTGTGTATGTTCTTTGTAAGGCGTCACGTACGTTTTTATTTGATATAATATATATAGAGTCGAGAAACAGTTCTTTTCTCAATGAACACTGTGTAATTCATCCGAGTACGACCGACTATAAATATATGTGATTATGTTCCTAATAATAACTTGCAATAGAACCGAATTGGATTGTTAACGACTTAGCGTAGTATCAATGATTAAGAACTATTATTAACTACAAATGACTGATTTTTGATAAACGATCGAGATTAAATTTTTAAAATGGCCTCTTGTTTGGTTGAATTGTTAGGCACATGGCAACTCTATATAAATCATGTTACTTTTATTACAAAAAATTCGTGTTCTAACAAAATAATAATTGTTGTTTATTAACCAAAAATAACTTAATGTACAACTATGATTCAATGAAACATAATTTAAAAAAAAAAATCAAACAACAGGCTATAGAAAATAATGTGAATTATTGAATATCTAAAAGTAGTATATGAAACATAAATTGAGACCTCGTGAATAAGTAAAACATAAAAGGCCAAATAATATATAATATATGGGATAAATTAAGTCACAGCTCACTTGCCCAAAAAATATGATCGATCCTTGGGAATTTGACTCATATTGTGAGAAAAATTTACCAATTACACTAAGTTGAATTTGACCTATTCTTTTTTAGTTTGTGTGAAAATGATAAAATATCACTTTTTGTGAAACATTAAAGAAAAAATGGAAAGGGTTAACTTGAAAACAAAATAATAATAATTGAAGAGGTGGCGAATATAGGATTTTAAAGGAGAAATATAAGAAGGTCAACTTTAATATTTCCAATAAAATTATCAACCAACTGTCAAATAATTGTTATCTATTACTATCTTAAAGCTAGTAACATGAAGATAATGTTGGGTGATAAACAAATTAACAAGTTAATGTTGGGTGTTAGTTCTGTCCCTAGCTGTCTTAAATCCATTTCATATTCAAACGACACTACGATTAAAATTCAATTCTCCAAAATTAAGAATTATATTTTTGTTTAACAAATATAAGCTTTGTAATCATATTTTGAATTTCAATAGTTCTATTTAAACACAGTAGCTAGCTTCGTAGATTAAACTACCTCAGTCGTCTAGCATCGACCAGAAAAAACATCGAGCACCCCAAAGACTTTCTGATTTGAGATCAAGTATGTTCTTACTTCACCTTATTTTGTTTTTTTGAAACTTTGCATCTATTAACCCTTAAAGAGTTACGGTTTAACTACATATGTACATGCATGTAGATTTAAATAGATATATGAATATTAGATCTGTTAGTATCTCATATATATCAATATTTGATGCGATCACAAGTAGTCACAAGTCACAAGTATGCCCTTATAAGGTTTTACGCGATAAATGTATACTTACTTTGCTTCTCTTTTCTCAGATGGTGAAAAATGTTAAAATAGCTGTGGATGCGCAGGAGAAGCTCTTTGAGAAAAGAGAAGAAGCACGTGAGAACGAAAAGAACGAAATGAAGAATAACTTAGATGAGTTGGAAAGACGTATGCATGAAGAAAATCTTCAAGAATGTCGTATTCTCTGATCAGTCATTGACCAGAGACTTTGTTTATTTTTCTGATGCATCTTCTATGTTCTTCAAGTACATCTTCTACGTTCCTCTTTCGAACACGCTTTCGAGCTTTCAAGCATGTTGTTGAGTCTGAGTTTGCTTATGTTTTCAAATTCCATCTATGTTATTTTCATTAGTTTATGTCGTGAGTCTACTTGCAAAGCTCATGTGCTTCTTGTTTTGACCAAAGAGATAAGTACTTAACCTATGAGCTTTCTCCCTTTTTGGGGAAAAACGCCGCCATAAACTTAGTTGTTTTATCGTATTACTATTTATACATAAAACTTTAAAGTGTGCCAAAATTATATAAACTTAACTAAAATTTTAATTTTTAATATAAACAATCTAAATCCGGTCTAAACCATCAAATCGATAACCGGTGTTATAGTTCCGTTAATACTTGATGACTCGGATGTTAAATCTAAGACTAAGTCTTGTATATTTTCCTTTTGTCGTTTGGATTCAGAGGTCGGTCCAGAGGCCCATTTAACATGTCTTACCCGAGATTCCCCCATTTAATTGTATTTTGAGAACAGATTAACTTTTTTTTTCTTTAATTCCAATTTTTTGATAATGTTGGAATTTGTTTTGAAATTATTTACGAAAACTTCATAAGTTCATCATCTAATTTCATTATACATTTTTTCTTACTTTTTTCTTGATGTGTAATATAATGAGAAATATACATAAATTATCAAATCAACTTCGTCTCTTTCATTGAGAGAAACAATACAGAAAAACAAATAGTTATTTCAAAGAAACATAAGTTCACATAAATGAAAAAGCAACACATTATAAAATAGCCATGTTACATGACACATATGCATTCATATGGGAGAACAAGATCTCTCCCTTATCTTCAAAGATTGGCTAGTTCTTGAATGCTGATAGGGTAAGAATAAGCTCGGGAGTTGAAATTAGATTTTGCAAGCAATATGTTAGCAGTCTCTGTCGGATGAAACGCATCCCAAAAGAGATACTTGGTTCGGTCAGGGCACGGGGTTTGCAGTGGAAGACACGTTATCTGACCATTGTTCCTCCCCACTCCACAACAACCTTTGTCCACAACCTCAAATCCTGTCCGATCAATGTAAACAATAATAAGAGACTTTATGTAGTTATAAGACTAAAATACATATTGTACCATGTGTTTGAATGTATGTAACTCACCGTAGGCAGCTCCATTGGCAGCAAGATCATAGGTACTCTTGTAAGAATCAAGGTAAACGAACTTGGCTCCTTTCAACTGACCTTTGTTGAAACGGTCCACTAGCTTCTTGACTTGAGAGTTGAACAACACAATCGCGTTGTTGATCTTTCCATTGCATCTTCCAGTACTATTGTTACGGTTATTATACCGCGCGAGCTGGTAAGGTATGCAACCGATCTGTCCCACTCCAGTAACAACTATTTTCCGAGCTCCAAATTGGTACAACCTCTAAGAAACAAAAAACAAAAAAAAAATAGAATCAAGATATAATGTATTGAGATAATTAAGTTATGTATCATTGATCAAACCCTTACAGTAAGCTGTTGTGTGTAGTTCTTTATGAGAGATTCCGCAAAGCTTTTGTCATTGAAATTGGAACTAGTTGAGTAGAAGTCAGGCATGAAGTAATTGTTGAGATAATCATTACTTCCCATCCCGGAGTAATAGATACAACGACCTAAGTATCGTTGCAACTCATTTGTGTCTCCTCTGAAGTATCTAAGCATCTGTTGAACCGCGGTCGTGTACAGATCTACCTGCTGGTTCATTGAAGTATGTGCACCCTACAAAAGCATTTTGCAGTATAATTATGTTAGTGTTTACATTAGAACTGATGTTGCTTTTAAATATTTGATGGTAAGATGTGTATACCAAGTTGTCACCGGTCTCATCTCTTATACCAGCGGCACCAGATGCGAAATTTGCACCTCTTAGGATAGCCTGGCCACGAATCCTAGAATACGGTGGAATGTAAGCTCGGAATCCAAGTATTTGAGCTACAAAAAAAGGAAAATGTTAAACTTTTATTAGTACACAACACACTGGCTTCGATTGGTAACACATATAATGGCATAATGACGTTTTCTAATGCGATTACGTAAAAAAAATTACCAGTCAAGAAAATTTGCATAATCGCATTAGAAAACACAAAAATAGAAAATACTTTGTTTATGATTAAAATTATAATATTTAAAATGTCACAACTACATCCAAGTTTATCTATATTTTGTATTAAATATAATTATAAATTCTGCAAAATGTATCCAATCAACATACTGTATATTTTAACTAATTTTATTCTGCAATTTTTATTCTGCAAGTTTTCATTATGCAAGTTTTTATTATGCAGCTTACGTCATTATGCGATTATGCATCGTCACCAATCGAAGCCACTAACTAAGACTTTTTAAAATGGTTATATAGGTTCCAAAAAAAATATAAAATTCTTAAAATATTTTACAAATATATTTACATATTCAAATATTGAATGTGTGACATGTCTAAAGTAATTTTTACTACTACGTACGTACTGAGCCGGCCATGCTAAACACATTGGTCTATATATATATCACTCACTACAAGAGTTGTGCAAAAGGTTCGGTCCATAGAGAATGTGAAGAGAAATACCTAATGCATCAACGTAGGTGCGACCGTTGGTGAACCGTCCAGTAGTACCTTGGGGAAAGTCAATGCCATAAGGTCGGTAATTAGCCCTCGCAAGCGAAAGCAACCTTTACATATATTTCAAATCATAATTACTATGAATTTGTGTAACAACATATAGATGGAAAACAAAATCATAACATATACTATATACATAGAGAGAAAAATGCAAAATGAAACAAACCTGTTGTTGTTTCCATTATCGACTAAGGAGTCACCAAAGATGAATAAACAAGGTACTTGTCCCTGTTGGTATGGCTGTGACACTGTCCATTTTGAACCGAACAGAACAAAACCAAAAGTAAGAAACAATATAAAGCGAAGTGCACCCATTATGTCCAAAATGTTAATGGATCTCAAGAAGACTGAGTTTTGAATAGGGGTTGAGTGGAGTTACACAGTTATATATATGTATACTGAGGAAATGTGATTGGTTGGGTTGGTTGGTTTGGTATGGTATAATTGGTTTCATGTGCTGTGATAATTTTGTGACAGTTGGTTTCTACTGTGGCTACATTCACAGGCGTCTCATGTACATGCAATCTCGTGATGGTCTCAGAGTCAATATGTTGCTTTCCAGTTGTTTGTGTCACAAGTCAATTCATGTAACAGTTGGCATAGTACTCAAAAGACCAAGAAAGCTATTTTAGGCAAAAATAAAATGTAATTGTTGTTACTTGTAAAAGTTTCAAATTTTTAAGAATTCCAAAAACTTTCCAACATTGGAAAAATACTAAATAGGACCAAACAAATATGCAATTGTTAAAGATTACATGATTCAGCAATTCAGATGGGCTTAGGCTAAGGCCGTTTAGTTATCTATCAATTGCCCCATGGTCCCTAAGAGCATGAACTCTCAACAGGAGACTATTCCAAACTTTAAACTGTTGGGGCAGTGCATATGAAACCCAAGCTTGAGTTTGAACCAAAGCAGCTTATATTTATGGGAATAGGTAGTGCTTAAATGGAACTTGGAAATTTCATTGTACTTTGGAAAACTCATACAAAACATCTCTTTGAAGACATATTTCAATGATTCTAACAGCGTTGGGTTCATTCACAAACTTGAAAGATGGTCAGATCTCAACGAACACGGCGAGCTTTATCTTCCTGCCCCAACCCCAGAGACTTTTGTGCATTTGCAATGCCTTCAGGATCTACATCAATAACATCAACCGTTAAAACCACATACCAGCACATAAATCAAGTGTCATTGACAGGGTCAAGGTAGAAAAATACTGAGATTTTCATCACGACTTTTATCACACGAGTACACGACAAGAAAACATTTGATTATTTCGTCTGTTTAATTAACATATGGTATTGGAAAATCATGCTCACCAAAGAACTGAGTGAAAATGCGGGTGAAGAAGCTCAAGTTGCGAGAGACGTTGTATGCCATGTCAGGAGGAAGAGGCTTCACCAAAGTGTCTATAGTGAATACTCTTTGGAGGAACTGTAATAGAAAGGCAGACTTTACAGCTTAGTAAAAAAATCGTCAAGATATAAGATTCATAGTCTGAGGTTACAATCTAAAAAATGGAAAACAACGATATCCAGCAACTGCTTCTCTATGAACACCCTGTGAATGCATAAAGATGGTTGGAGATGAATGGAATGTGTCTAAAAAAACCATCTGAACAGAAGTAGCTTTCAAGTATTTCCCTAATCAAGATATAAGTAGTCTACACCCAATATTACATAGAGAAGTTCACAAACCAGACCAAACACCTATTCATTAACTCTCCAGCACTACGAAAGATAGTATTCGTGAAAAATTTAAGTATATCACCAAGGAGAAGAAGGTTTACATCAAAACTACACAGTTTAGTTCCACTAAAGCACACCACCCGCTCTAAACATAATGCAAAGCATACAACAATAATATGAATCCGTAATATAAGATTCTAACCAAGCCTGTATATGAACCATTTGCAGACAAATTTCAACAAAATTGGAAACTTTATGTAACAGAGAGAGTGAGAAAAAACCATTCTTTTCAGCTAAATTTACTTGTTCTCAAACTTCACATAAGGTAATTTCAGAGGATTACAGAAACGTAAAGGATAAATCTTTTTCACATTTCCCCAATACCCATTTATCAAAACATGTTGAAAGATGTAACAGAGGCAAGTTCACACTATTCACTACTAATTTCCCAATTCCAAACAGATACAGAGATGAGCAAATTCACTATATGAAATTAGTAAAGGATGAATCTTTTTAACATTTCTCCAATACCCATTATGAAATTAGTAAAGGATGAATCTTTTTAACATTTCTCCAATACCCATGTAAAAGAGGCAATTTCCACACTATTCACTACTCATTTTCCCAATTTCAGATACAGAGAGAAGCAAAATTCACAATACAAAACCAAAGATTACAAAAAACAGAGAGAGGGTTTATGAGACCTGATAGTTTCGATTGAAGCTGTAACGAAGCTGAGGATCAATCTCAAGTGAATCATCATCATCATCAGCAGCGAGATTACCCTTTTTGGCACCGCGGCTAGGTACGTGCATCTTCGACATACCATCAGAATCCTTGGTGACCTTAAGCTTTCCGCCGCTAAACTTATCAGATTCATCATCGTCTTCGCCTCTCCACGGCGCTTTCGATAACAGTTCCTTCTTCTTCGCCATTGTTGTCTTTAAGCCAATTCTTTAGAGTTCTTTCGTGTGTGTTCTGTTTATGAGTGGGATAAGGCCCTAGACATGTTGTTTGGTTGCAGAGATAAGCTTAATACTAAACAAGATATGAGTTACCGAATGTCTTGTTTGGTTATAGAGTAGGATGTGTTACCAAAGGGTATATGAATTTCCCCATTAAACATAACGGTATCTCTTGAAATTCGTATAGGTTTTCAATTTTCTAAATAATTATTTTTAATTTATGTATAAATAAATTTTATTCATTACACACAATTTGAATATATATATATATATATATATAATTTTTTTTTCAAATGGATTATGAATCAAAATGCTGGACAATTATCAACTTATAAACAGTATTTAGATTATTTATATTCAATAAAAGAAATTGTCAAGTACAAAAACATTTAAACCATAATATATGGCGGAAACATTTTTATTTATCAAATATGATAGGAGAATTCATAATTTTAAATCGTAACAAAATGTTCTTTATATATATATACTAGTTGTTGACTCGCGCTACGCGCAGAAAGTTTATAATTTTTATTTCATTTTTTATTGATAATGAGTTCCAATGTTCGTTTTGTTGGTTTTTTACTGTTGTCATTTTTTGTTATTCTATTTTTCGTATGAATTGTATTTTTTTAAAAAAATTTAAAAACTCATTATTACATAACACAATAACACTAATTATTTCATAAGGCCCATATTTTAAACAATAGATACTTATGAGTAAAAGACCCAGTTTTTTAATTAAAAACAAAGAAAAAAATTTATAAAAGATTAGGTGATTGAGTTCTTCTAGTGGTTCTTTTGTTCCCTTTACCTCTGTTTTTTCTTTTTTTCTGTCTCTTTGCTTTTCTTCCTTGTACTGGATTTATGTGGTTTATCACTCATGCAATGCAAAGCGTTAAAAAAAAAAAAAAAATTTGTTTTCTTTAATTCAAAAAATTACCGTGTAATTAACACCAAATTATTATGGAAAAAATAATACGATTAAAAGGCAAAGTAGTACATTTTCAAAACATAATTATATAAGTAGTACATTCATTATTTATAATTACCAAAACAATACACTTTTACTATTTGGACACTATTTATAAATCTCTTAAATCTAAAAACTAGAATATTCATCAAAATATATATTTTTTTAATCAAATTTTAGTTATATAAAAATCTATAGTTTTTTCTCTATAATTTGATATGCATTTTATTTTAATAATCTCAAAAAAAAATTAAATAACTTTTGATACGTCCAGCTATTCTTATGTACAATTGTGTGTTGTTGTACGGTATTTTCTCTGTACATCGGTCTATATATATGTATAATTGTATGTGTACGGATATTTTAATGGTCTATATATATATATATATATATATATATAATTAGAAATGTGTAAACAAATTTTTTTGTAGTTGTTTGTCTCTGTACAAATATCTTATGTACAACAATATGTTTCTGTACAGATATTTCTCAAAGTAAAAGTGGGCTATTTTGCTAATTATGAATAGTAAACGTATTACCTTTATAGTTATGTTTCAAAGACGTACTAGTTTGCCAACACACCCAAAATAATAATCCTTACCTCGAACGAGCGATGACTGACTCAAAGACCCATTAATCGCATCATCCCTGCAAAACACAAATAAAGATGGATAGTTAGAACTTGATAGAGAGGGGCAACTGTTGAAGGAAAGAAGAAGGAAACTATGGAGTAATGAGATGAAAAAGGTGGAAATGGTAGCTAGAGGTTGAGAAGGTTATGGAGTGATGAGATGAAAAGATGGACTTGCTTGTTAGGGTTTAATTTTTTTTCAATTTTCTAAATTAAATTTTTAATTTATGTATAAAAAAATTATTCAGTACACACAATTTGAATATATATATATATATATATATAATTTTTTCTCAAATGGACTATGAATCAAATAAATTTTATTCAGTACACACAATTTGAATATATCTATATATATTTCAAATGGACTATGAATCAAAATGCTGGAAAATTTTCAACTTATAAACATTATTTAAATTATTTATATTCAATAAAAGAAATTGCCAAGTACAAAAACATTTAAATCATGATATATGGCGGAAACATTTTTATTTATCAAATATGATAGGAGAATTTATAATTTTAAATCGTAACGAAATTCATTATATATATACTAGTTGTTGATCCGTGCTACGAACGGAGAGTTTATATGCTTGTTGTGTTGCGTTTTGCAAGCATGTGTATGCCAGCTAAGCAATGATGCGAACAGTAGTATTTGAATATACCGATTTAAGTAAATGTACTAAAATCTTGTAAAACATAATCAAATCAAGCAAAAACACAACCCAAAAAAAATTATTTTAAAAAATGCCAGCTAAGCAAGTCTTCCCTGAGTCCGTTGACCGACCAACGACGGTGAACTCCATGACGGCAAAATTAAAGGCGGCGATCAACGTCCACCGGACAAAAAGGTCGTCCAGCTCGAGCCCGATGGCTAGGAATAGTGAAATGCCTCAGCCTCCCATTTTGCTCCCTCATGTAACCTTTACACAAGAAAGTCGCCGAGAACTCATCTTCCACCGGACGGTTAACGTCGTGAACAAAAACATCAGTTTCACCATCTTCACGGTTACGAGCCAAAAGCCCCGCCGTGTAAATAGCACTCATCCTCCCCGGAGCTTCTTCATGGTAACCAGTTGGAGCATCGACCATGATCAGATCCCATTTCGTATCGTAAAAATCCGCCGGGAAATCTTTCAACGCAAGATCACATTTCGAGTTTCTTGGATCAGACACGGATCTACACTCTTCTGATCGTCCTAGCTCCATGAGTTTGTCTGAATCTTTGACTTTTGTGTCGTAAACTACGTGGTAAGATTCCAAGTTTGGGAATTTCTTGGTTACTATAGCAATCCAAGCCTTGTCTTCTTCAATAAACACTGAAAGTTTAAATCTTTATTAGTAAGAACTCAGAAAATTTCGTTAGATCTGTTGAAACAGAGCAAAAAAAAAACAGAGCAAAAAACAGAGTACTAACAAGTACGACCACCATGGTTAAGAGATGCCCACATTAAGCTGTCATGACCTAAGCCAAAGACAAGGAAGTTACAAGGAGACTTCTTGTCCAAGACTCTTTTTGAGACAGAGACTTCATCGAACGTTTGCTGTGGAGTAACGTTACTGGTCACGTAATGAACCAATGCGTCGGATAAAGAAAGTGGCATCTTCGTGCATTGTTGTGTTGTTGTTGGACATGCTTCTGGTTTATGGTGATGAGTTTGTTCTTCTTCTTCTTGGGAGAGATTAGTTTTGGAGATTGGCTTTGAGGAAGAAGAGATGTTTGATCTTGCAAAGAAGATGATAAGAAAGATCAAGATTGAACAGCCTATGAATATGACTTTGAGATTAACAGAAGATTGAGATTTGGTCCTCATTTTCGATTTTTCGATTTGAGTTTATTCGGATCGATGAATGAGGAAGATGTTTTGATAATGGTTAGAAATGTATGTATATAGAGAGAGGGAAATGTTAATGATTGAGGAAGTTGAGGAGGACATGAAAGCTACTAAGGTTGCTGTTCTTCCAATACAACAGAAGTTGGTGGTTGATGAAATACATATACTAACTAATTTGTTTTTTTTCATATTATATAGTAATGATGATAACTAGAAGATGTGAAACGTAATGGAGACATTTTCTTGGTTATAAAATTGATGCTTGAGAGAGACGAATCTGATGGGAAAGATTGGAGTGATCCAAAAGAGACAAGTGTTAAAAAGGAACCAAACATGGTGGTTGCAACTTTCTTATTCCTTGTTTTTTAAATAAACACACCCATGTTGGGTTTTAACAACTTTGGGTTCTTTGTTTCTTGAACATTATTATTTGTCAAACTAATTTTTTGTCTTGTTTGAAAAAATATATATTTGTTTTGGTTTAACTAAACCAAGATATTGATTCCAAAATTGAATAACTTTGAAGTCAAACAAGAGGATATGTAACCAAACCAAACCGAAAACCGATCAAACAAAACCTAGATTTGGTTTCGGTTTCGAGGGTGAAATTGTAAACAAAAGGAAAATGGCATGCATGCATGTGCGGTTTCGGTTAAGAAACTTAAATCTTTTATAGTTCGTTTTATTGATTTGTAAAATCCATATAAATTTTTTAATTTTTATTAATTTTGAAATTAAGTTATATTAATTTTGAAATTAAGTTATATGAATTTTGAAATAACATTTCATATATTTGATTTTTTTTCTCACTTAGTCATTTTCAAACCCACTCAAATCTACTTAAAGCATAATATAGATTTTAAAATCCAACAGTAATTGCTAAAAATATAACATATGATTTTACCTAATATTTATAGATCATAAAATCAATAATAAAAATTTGAAATTCAGTGATTAATTAGTACACATATTCATTAACCAGTAAACTCCATTAGTTTAAGAATTAAGACAAGTAAAGTCACACATCATCATTAGTCGTTAGTCCAAGTTTGAGAAGGCAGACAAAAAAGATATACCTTTAAATCACATCCTTACCTATTCATGGACTGTCGTGCTTGTAATATATTTGTTCTACTTATAAAACAATCAAATATATTTCAAACATTATTATATATAACTTGTGAAATCATGTATAACTTTCTTGTAGATTTACCGCATAATTTTTCTTTTCAGTGCCCAACTAATTTTCTTAGTATCCAGCAAAATAATTTTAATCTATTAAAAATTCAATTTATTATTTTGTATGTTGTAGCACAATATACGAGTCAAAAAAACAATTCAACTGAAAGATTCATAAAAATCCTTTCTTAAAATTAACTCTCGATAAAATAAATTTAATCAAATCTACACATTATTATTTGTTAAATTCAATCAAAATTAACACAAGATAGAAAGAAAAAATAATCTAAACACAAGAAAACTTTTCAAAATCTTTCTTTCTAGATGAAAACTATATAATTCGCAAGAAATCGTTCTTTCAAGATATACCGATTATAAATCCTAAAATTTACTTCATATCTCATCATTTAAATAAATAAATAAAATTCATCATGATTATAAAAAACTTGCTCGTGAAGCTAAATTAATAAGATTAATAAATCTCTATTGATGATAAGATCTACATGAGGATAAACTGTTTGGTATAACATACCCATCTTAGGAGGTTAGTTATGTCTCATAGATTCAAGAATGTTTAGGGATAAGATGTAACTGCATTTTCATAAACTTACATTAGTACCAAAATTGAGAGATTAGAACATAAACTCAAACTCTCTAAAAACTTTTAGTTTTATCCAAAAAAAAAAATTGTAATATTTTCATTACTTATGTCAATATAATGCATATGATGTAAGCTAAAACACTCAAAAGAATGTGTAACAAATACAACAAAAACTAAAAACACAACATAATTTTGTCCTCCACAAAATTGCAAACCAACTAAAAATTTGGTTATTTGGATTTTATTATCAAAACCAAACATCAGAATATTTATTATTAAAAAAAAAAACAGAAACAAAAAAAATTCTTAAATTCAATTTGGTGGATTATATTTGTAACCAATCAAAATCCAAGAATTTCGCTATATATAAAAAAGCATATTCCTTTTTCTTTTTTTCTCTTTCGTTGTTTTTTTTTTTTGTCTTCTCGCAATCTGTTCCCATCAATCACAGATATCCTCAGCTTCTCTCTCTGGATTTCTCAACATTCTTCTTCTTCTCCTCATCGCTTCTTTTAACGAAAGATTCAAACTTTAAACACTTCACTATCTCATCGGAGCTTCCGAGCAATGGATCTATGGACCCTTGACGTCGCGATCCGAAACCCTCTCTTCTCACCGTCGGTGAGATCATCATCATCGATCCCTGAGAAATCATCATCTGTTTCTGGGAAACTCGGTGAATTGGAGTTTAGGTTCCTGAAACGAAAGGTCTCTGTTTCTGGGTATCGTTCATTTGTTGTTAGAGCTACGTCTAAGAAGAGTAACGATGATTCCTCTGCTTCAGGTATGTGGGTTTTAAGTAAAGGTCTGATTTTTATTGGATTTGGTTACTTGCATGCACTTAAAGTACTGGCCTTTCTTGATTTAGACATTAAAATCAATCAAAATTAGTGTGTCTGTGTGAAATTTTGTGTCTTTGGACCAAAACGAATTGTCTCAGTGCTTATCTATGATGAAATAGGATTGTGATTCTTAACAAGTGTGGAGCTTTTTTTTGTTTGATGAAGGAGATGCTTCTCAGGAGAACAAGCCTTCTAATGGAAACAAATCAGGTGATTCTATGGCTCCAAGGTCGTTTGGTTTGAGTACTGATTGGAGAGAGTTCAGAGCAAACTTGTTTATGAAAGAGCAGGTACTAATAGTTGTTGATATGTCTAGATGAAGTTTGGCATTGTTCTTGGGAAATTTTATATATAAGTCAATAGGGGTTTATGCTTTGAATGATGTTACAGGAAGAAAAGGCTGAAGCTGAGGGTCATAAACCAGCTACAATATCTCATGATTCGGAACCGATAGGATTGAAATGGGCTCATCCGATTCCTTTTCCTGAGACTGGATGTGTTCTAGTTGCTACAGAGAAGCTAGATGGTTATAGAACATTTGCGAGAACTGTTGTGCTTCTTCTTAGAGCAGGAACTAGACACCCACAAGAAGGGCCGTTTGGAGTTGTTATCAACCGTCCCCTTCACAAAAACATCAAGCATATGAAATCAACTAAAACCGAACTCGCTACCACGTTTTCAGAATGTTCCTTGTACTTTGGTGGACCTCTTGAAGCAAGCATGTTTCTGTTGAAAACTGGCGATAAAACAAAGATACCGGGGTTTGAAGAAATCATGCCCGGCCTTAACTTTGGTACTCGGAACAGCTTAGATGAAGCTGCAGTACTTGTAAAGAAGGGAATTATTAAGCCACAGGACTTTAGGTTCTTTGTTGGTTATGCGGGTTGGCAGCTAGATCAGCTCAGAGAAGAGATCGAATCAGATTACTGGCATGTTGCTGCATGCAGCTCAGATTTAATATGTGGAGCTTCGTCGGAAAACTTGTGGGAGGAGATTTTACAGTTAATGGGCGGTCAATACTCCGAGCTTAGCCGGAAACCCAAGCTGGATATCTAGACTTTATGTTTGAAATTGATGCTAGTTTTCTAAGAGAACTTGTGGCTTTATAGCTTATATATATTGTCTCTATTAAGCCAGTTTGTATAGCTTACTTCGCTGGCTTGTATGTGAGAATAATGCGCTTCTATGCTATTTATAAAGATTTGCTTTCTGAAAACTCCTATTATGTATTCTGCAGTTAATAACTAAAGAACCTAAATCTAATAAATTGAAGCAGTTGTTCTAGATATACACATTTGTTTGATCACCCCTAACGAAAAGAAAAGAGCAGAGCATGAAACAGAGGTTGCTATGTGCAAAAGACTAATAGATCTATCTCTGAATCGTCTAGTTTCAGGTTATGATTTTTTCTCCTTGTTTCATGCTTCACTAAGCACATGCTTTCACCGAGAAATCTTTGTTCTTCTTTGTTGCAGTTTTCTCAAGGCGGGACTTGCGTACAGCTTCTTGGATCCGTCTCTCGTGGTCTTTCATCATGTCTTCAATGTTACCACCAGGAGGCATCAAAGGACCTGAATAGTGCATTCTTTTCTTCTTTCGCATGTATGTCTGAAACCACATATCAGGAAACATCTTAGAGTCCATATGTAAAGAGAGAAGAGAGTTTATGAGCTGTTGAATCAGCTTTTTTACCGTTGTTGGTTCTCTTAAAGCAACATTCTCCTTTTGCGAAGAGCTAGCTAAGTAATCTCCCACTGTAACAGGAACATTGTTGGACCTGCTGCTAGCTTTCACCTCACCAACATTGCTCCTAGAGCTTGGATGGATCAATGAATTGGTATCCGAAAATGGTTTTTCTTTCTTGAAAGCTGGGGTGTTGATGGAGACATTTGAATGCCCTGAAGCAATGAAATCTGGTGTTATTTTGGAGTCTCTTGAACCTCGTCTCACAGATTCGTGTCCACGCCACTTCACAGCTTCCGCTTTTTTCCTGAAATTTCAAAAGGAAAAATTTTGTTTAGGAATCATGACTGCATCATTAGTAGACGAAGAGGCTCTCCTTGCATACTGACCTTTTTGATTCTTCATCCCGGACCTTTGCATCAAGTTCCTTGCTTGGCGGATACTTCGGCAAACTTGATATGTGACAAGGGAGGGGCTCCGTTGTAAAAAACTGGATATGTAAATGAGACAATCATTCATCAGTATTCTTCCGGAGGCCAATCAAGAATGTTAATAAAGAAAAAGAAGGCTGCTACCTCACTCAGTAGAGTCGAAGAAGCTGAACATCTTTTCTCTGGTTCTACAGATAGAAGCTTGTCAAGGAGAGCAAGAGACGAAGATGGTAAATTCTTGAATGTTTCTAGAAGGACACGCTTATAAGGATGTTGTGGTCTGTAACTTGTCGCCTGTGGGAACTTTGTTGTTTCCCAGAACTCTTCAGATGGCGAACCGCACAGCTTAAAGATCTTGTGCATTTGCTCCACCTTGAAGAACATTTTTCGAATATGAAAATCAGTTGAAACTAAATGGAACTATAGGCTAAGGCAGTATGGATTTGAAACTCACCTCTGTTCTTCCCGGCATGATTGGTTTACCTACAAAGAGTTCTGCTAGAATGCAACCAACGCTCCAAAGATCAATGGCAGGTCCATACGCTGTAGATCCTAATAGAAGCTCGGGGGCTCTATACCACAAGGTGACCACACGGCTAGTCAGCGGTTGATCTTGATCTGGATGATAAAAACTTGCAAGACCGAAATCTCCAATCTTGAGAACTCCATCATTATTTATCAAAAGATTTGAACCCTTGATGTCACGGTGAAGGATTCCACGGCTGTGACAATGCTCAAGTCCACAAAGCAGTTGCTTCATATAACACTTGATCTGAACAAAACAACAAGTGAGTACACTGATTAGCTTGAGAACACAACAAGTTGATTCGACGAAGCAAGCTATTTGAAAGTTACCTCTGGCTCAGTGAATTTGACACCAGGCCTAAGAGCAAGACCTGAAAGATCATGCTCCATGTACTCAAACACAAGTTGCAAGCTACCTGATAGCTTTGAAGTGACAAGACACTGAAGCTTCATAACATTTGGATGGTCTAGTTTCCTTAAAATGTTGATTTCTCTAGCCATGAACCTCACACTTTCTGGATCCATATTTGCAAACCTCACCTTCTTCATCGCCACTAGTTTCCCTGTCTCAAGATCCCTTGCCCTATACACAACACTGTAAGTCCCTTGTCCAATCTGCAAACACAATATTCATATCATTACAAATCCATAAATCATTCCAATGCAGTGATAATTCAGACAAACAATATGGAATAAGACTTACTTTGTCAAGCTTCTCAAAGGAATCAGCACGTCTCGGTACCCAACCTTTAATGGCTTCACCTGCAACAGAGGTTAACCAATAAGGCCAACCAGCTGCAATAAGCTCTGCCTCAGCGCTACGCGGGACATTCGAAATAACCAAACCACCTCCTTTGCCATTATCTGAAACTCTCCTTCCTCGTTGAGAAGACCTCGAAGGTCTCTCTACAATAACAGTCTTACCATCATGACTATCATCTATAGGAACAATCAAACCACTCGCTCTTCTTCCAACGTTAGAGCTTCCATCAACAGCTCTATGCGAAAAATCGTCTTTATTCGAAGGCAGAGGAGCAATCAATTGAACATTAGAAGATTTATTCCAATACTCATTTGCTTTCTCACGTTGATAAGCAACATCTTCTTCATCTTCTGCTGCTCCTTTTGAGCAAATGCAGCCCATAATAAAAACCTGCCTTGTTCCACAATCTACTAACTTTGTAACCGATTTCAACACATGGTCTTAGGTAAAAAGAGAAAACCAAATCTTTATATGTCCTGATTGATCCCTAAGGCATCAAACCAAGGAATCTTCAGGAGAGATTCACAAAATCACTGCTTTTTGAAGGCAGAAACCAAAAGGGTTTCTTCTAAACCCCAAAAAGATTGTGATTCTTGATTTTTTTACGATTCAAGAAACCAAAGTTTGGATTTTTTTTTTTGTGACTGCAAGATTGAGAGAGAAGGGTTCTACGAAAACGGAAAATGCGGGGGGAAATGAGGAAAAGAAAGATTGTGAATAAGAGAAAAATGGAAAGAAGAGATATGGTTTTGTGTAAAGAGTAAAATCTGGAGAGCCCTTGATTCTTGGGGGACAACACAGCTCACACAAAGAATGGTTCTTTCTCTCTATCTTTAGAAATAGTCAAAATCCAAAAACCGTTTTGCTTTGCATGAGAATATTTTTATCCTTTTATTTAAGTACCATAAATGTGTTCTTTTGAGCTTGTGGGAATCTTTATATACTTGGTAACATATATACACTGGATTATAATATAACAAAACTGTTCATTTCTAAACCTAAATTTCAGATTACTAAAAAAAAAAATTATTATAGAAAAGCAAGATTTCCTCCTATTTGAAAAATGAAAATTCTCTTCCATTAAATTACATCTGATTTGTGCACCAAATTATATATATATATATATTCTCATAAAATTTTGGGATCTTAGATTAAATTAATTGAAATAATTCAATATATATGGATAAAATAATTAAATAAACTAAAAGTGATGTGTTAGAATTTTATGGATAACTAGATTTGGACCCGCACGTACGTGCGGGATTGATTTCAAAAACAAAATTTGTTATAAAATTTTCAAATATATTATGTACGTACGGGATTATGTTTGTAAACGTAACTTTTAGGAATGTTATTAACATTTATAATCTAAACCAGTATCAAGTCAATATTTGATTTTTTTTAAATTAGGTTAAACAAAAAAAACGATACGATTTAGTTTTATTAAAGACAGTTGTACTTGTACCTTAAAAAATAGTAAAACAATTGTAGTTTGTCAATTTCGGGACATAAATCTTGTCTCGTGCGTCTTAATATGTCATGTTTTTCCATTCCATAAGCATTTTAATTATTTACCCATTTGAGATTGTATATTTTAGTCAAACATATAAGAAAATGGGTCAACGATTTAGACTTAC